ATATTTTGAATTTAATTGTGCAAGATGACTTAAAAATATAAAGGATGAACTTCAAGGGATTAGGAACACGTTCGCATATATTACGATCTCTCCTAGTAGAAAACAAGCGTTTGAAGATTTTTGTGCCAAACTAGGGGTGAGACTGCTAAAACATTTGTTGGCGACGTAGACAATAGATGGAACTCTATTTACCTGGTATTAAAGTCATGTGAAGGTTTTGAACATTTTAATAGCTGACTTTTATAATAATAGACACGTTAGAAGCGATGACGATAGTATGTTGAATGCATCAGGTTGGGTTTTAACTTTGAAAGTTAAACGATTTTTGACATCTTTTTATGAGACCACAAAGATTTTATCGGGCGTTTATTATCCCACAAGCTATATAGTGCTTGAACGCCTTTATATAATTGCAAGAACATTCCATAAATATAAAAATAATCTTGATTTTAGTGAAATTATAATTGTTATAAAATTAAAGTTTAGAAAATATTGGGAAGAACTGCCTATGTTATTTCCTTTAGCATGCGCAATGGACCCCCGATATAATATATCGAGAACTAAATACGTAATTGATCAAATCAATAAAGTCTTGATACTTGATACACCTATCACCTATAAGAATTTAGAGCAAACATTATGTGGAATATATGATTTATATGCGGAATTAATAGGTGCGAATGTTAGTCGGATACCCTCTGCACCTACTCCTTCGGCTGAAATTGAAAAAGATGATACCGAAATAATGAATTTATTTCAAAGAATTAATACATTTAGATATGATGCAACTGCAATGTGTTCATCTAGTGCCATGTCGTCTACACTCATATCTCATCAAACATCGATCGCAACTCAAAATGCGATGCTTGTCAAATTAATTGATTACTTCAATCATAATATGTCAACAGACAAAACAATTAAAAAAAGTTCAGAAGAAGTAATTGAATTATAGTGAAAGTATGAAAGACGTTGATCAATTATTTCTGCAATTGTGAAAAATATGCTGACACCTTCAGTTAGCACTGTTGTTTTGGAGTCTGCTTTTAGTGTAGGTAAAAGGGTTTTGACCGATGTCATGAGCCGACTGAAAGAAAATATTTTGGAAGCTCATTTTCGACTACAAGATAAATACGCTGAAATTGCATATTGTTAGGTAAATGATATTTGATTTAATTATATTAATCAAAATTTCTTATTTTTAATCGTTAAATTTAATTTTCTTTAAAAAATTGTACACATTACAACAAGTTGTTCGTGTATAATTTTTAACTTCGCCTACTTAAAATTTATGTAGTGGGTCTCAAGTTCGGATAAAGGAGGAGGATTTACATTTTATCTTCTTTAAAAAGAAATCAAAAGAATGTATTTTTTGTAAATGTATTTCAAAAAACAATTCGTTTTCATTACATAAATATTTTATACTTTATAGAAAATATTACAATATGATAGAAACAAAAAAAAATGTCTTCATTAAATTATTTTTTAAAAAATGCATTAAATTATTTGTATTTTTTTTAACACTTTTTATTTTTTCAAAAAGTTTCTTCATTAAATTATTTGTGTTTTTCTGTATTTAAAAAAAAATTAATGAGCTCGCGAGCCAAAGTTCGGCTCGTGGGCCGAGCTGAGCTCTCCCAAAATGAATGAGCCGAGCTCTTGTTCAAAACGAGCCACGAGCACAAGCCGAGCTCGTGGGTTTACCGGCTCAGCCCATTGACATCCCTAACTTCGATTTTAGGCCAATAAAAATGTTCCCCTAACATATCTAAAGTCTTTTGAACCCCAATGTGTCTCATTAGACCTCCACTATGTGCTTCCCTGACCAACAATTCATGCATAGAACAATTAAGTATGCACAATTTATTTTTCCTAAACAAATATCCTTCATGCCTATAAAATTTGTCAACAGCTCCCTTATTACATGAATCATATATGCTAGATAAATCAAGGTCATTTTCATACATGCCCTTTATATGCTCAAAACCAAGTTACCTTGCACTTAAAAAATTAAGATGCACGTACCTTCAAGACAACACATCTGCAACCACATTTTCATTACCTTGTTTATACTTGATGACGTAGGGAAACGTCTCTATAAATTCCATCCACCTCGCATGTAACTTATTTAATTTACCTTGACCCCGCAAGTGCTTTAGGGACTTATGGTCAGTGTGTATCACGAATTCCTTAGGCCACTAGTAATGCTGCCAAGTCTCCAATGCTCGATCAAGTGAATATAGCTCATTATCATATGTCAGATAGTTTAGTGTAGCTCTACTCAACTTCTCACTGAAGTAAGCAATAGGCCTCCATTCCTGCATTAGCACTGCGCCAATACCTATTCCTGATGCATCACACTCAATCTCGAAAATTTTATCAAAATTAGGTAATGTCAGAACAGGTGCTTTACACAATTTGTCTTTAATAGTGTTAAATGCATGTTCTTGTACTTCACCCTAGTGAAAACCTACGCTTTTCTTAACAATCTTTGTTAATGGTGTGGTGACGTGCTAAAATCTCTTACAAATTGCCTATAAAAACTAGCCAAGCGATGGAAACTCTTAACTTCAATTATGGTTTTAGATGTTGGCCAATCCTTAATAGCTCTTACCTTTTCTTCATCCACTTCTACCCTATTAGCACTAACCATAAGTCTTAGGAAAACAATTTTATCCATGTAAAAAGTGTACTTCTTAAAATTAGCATACATTTATTCCTTTCTTAACACAACAAGCACGCATTTCAAATATTCTAAATGCTCATCTAGGTCTTTGTTATAAATTAAAATGTCATCAAAATAAACTCCAACAAATCTACCTATGAAAGTATGCAAAATATGATTCATCAAACACATGAAAGTGCTTGGTGCATTAGTGAGACCAAACGGCATAACCAGCCACTCATACAATCTATATTTAGTTTTAGATGTCGTTTTCCATTCATCACCCTTCCGCATACGAATTTGATGATACCCACTCTTAAGATCAATTTTACTAAAAATGCAAGCACCATGTAATTCATCTAGCATATTATCTAACCTAGGTATGGGGTGAGGATACTTTACTGTTATATTGTTGATAGCTCCGCAATCCACATACATTCTCCACGACCTATCTTTCTTTAGCATCAGTAGAACATGTACAGCACATGGACTCATGCTCTCCCTCACAAAGCCTTTGCTCATCAACTCCTCCACTTGCCTCTAAAACTCTTTTGTCTCTTCTACTTTGCTTCGATAAGCTGGTCGATTTGGAATGACAGCTCTAGGTATGAAGTCGATCTGATACTCGATGCCTCGAGTCAGTGGCAACCCACTTGGCACATCATCTGGAAACACATCTTGGAATTCCTGCAACAAAGACTTAACCAAACTATGGAGAAGTGCGTTAGATTCCTCAAAATTGAGGTGTTGCTCTTTGTATATCAACAACAACATTTGCCTTTTATTGACCAAAGCCTATTTCAACTCACTCCCCTTCGTAAAGAAGTTTACTTTTGACTTTTCTCTCCTCTCATGTGGCCTCTCTCGGCCACCCCACCATTTTCTCTCTGTTTTCCAAGATCTCTTATTCTCCTTTCTTCCTCATTTTTCAATTTAATTTGGTCCTCATACACCTGTGTCAGTGTTAATGGCGCAAGAGTAATGGACCTCCCATCCTTGACAAAGCTATATCGGTTCCTATACCCATCATGTGTAACTTTTCTTATATATTGACATGGTCTTCCATACAAGATATGACCCGCATGCATAGGCACCACATCACATACATCCTTGTCACTATAACTCCCTATCGAGAAATTAATCAAAACCCACTTGTTCACCCTAACTTCTCCACTTTCATTCAACCACTGCAACGTTCCAGCGGCAAGCGAGCGAAACTCCGGCACTTCGACAGCTTCGTTCTGGACTCGAATTAAGTTCAACCACTTGGATTTGGCTCCCGAACTCAACATCAAACTTGTTCCCTTTTGCTCCAAGACCGATGTTTCTTCAATTGTTGATTGAACCTACATTCCTATCGCCCGATTGACCTTCTTCGCCCTCGACCTAGTCATCGGACCAACCTCAACTATCAACGGATCTCTGCTCGGATTTGAATTCTCAATCTTCAGATCCTGGATCATATCAGTTTATATAAGCAATTGGAACAAGTAAAATAATTCACTCCTCACCACTAATTGTTGAAAAGAGAAGTTAAAAAAAAGGTACATATAATTTTTCCTTTAAAATTTTTGGGGCCAAGGAACTTGGAACAAGTAAAATAATTCACTCCTCACCACTAGAACACACAATACTTTATTGTTACTTTTGTGTAATAACTTATATGCATGTCATAAATCATTTATAATTTTTTAACTATATATTTAAAATTATTATGGTCCACCATTTTACTTTATTTAATAGACTTAACTAATTAATAACAACTAACTTAAAACTTTAATTTTGCCTCAAAAAAATTTATACTTTAAGTTTTTTTTTTAATAATTTTTAAGTAATGACCCATTGATCCAAACACTAACCTATCGGTATGTGAATCTAGTAACTATGCAAAAAATAGAGGTATGCCTCTACATTTAAAACCAGTCATTAATTCCTTCAATCCAATTTTGGACTTAAATAGGGTTTGTGGACTAACCATAGGGCTGCCAAAAAAGGCAAACTTCCACATCCCTCTTGTAGCTGTAGCCCGTAGGACACGGCAATTTACTTGCTGTATATTATTGCACCGTTCAATACATATATGTTCTTTTCTACACGAAAAAAATTGTGTTTTTAATAAGTTTTCATAATATTTTCTCTCTGGTTTTTTATAATGTTAAAAAAAATGTATAAAAATTAGGTTGTGAATTTTTATTTTATTTATTTATTTTTTGGTAAAAATGTGTCATTTTTCACTATAACGGTTAGATTACTTGATAGTTCTTAATTTTCATTCATACTCAACTTTAAATGCAATCTTACCAATTGTTACAAAATGAACTCGAGATGTCTATCAGAATTTAGCAAAGTAAAAGACAAATAATCTTATCTTCAAATTTAGGACTTGAATGTCATTACAATTATTCAAACTCAAAGAAAGGATGCGAATGAGAACTATTACTAACATATTTATACGATTACATGCAAAAAACTACTTTATGGGTTGTGCATAGTATTCAGATATAAAATAGCTTCATAAGATTAATGACGTTTCTTTGTTGACAATCATATGAAAGACACCTTGAAACTGAATCAAAAAGGTTGCAGTCATGTGGACATGCTTTCTATCGACACTCTAACTCTGTAATAGTTACCTCATTGGTAGTGTCGATGTGAGTGCTCGTCTTCAATTCAGAATATGTCTCATTTCCAACATATGGAGGTGGTAATGGTTGTGGCAACGATAGAACTTCTCCTTCCAACATCTCAAGCACTGATTGCATTGTTGGTCGATCGCCTCGTTGTTTTTGGATACATAAAAGTCCAACTTGGATACATCTTAATGCTTCATCTGCTGGAAACTCGTCCTTCATTGATTTATCTAAAAATTCTAAGGCTTTTCCTTCGTTCCACATCTTCCAGACCTGAACATATACCACATATATACAATTCATTTCTTAGTGTATAGTTTGGTGACATCAAGTATTAGAAGGATAATTTTAAGTTAGTTCCTTCTTTACACAAACAATTTGGTCAGGAAAAGCAGCATGAATGCTTCTTCCACTCACAATCTCTAGGACAAGAACTCCAAAACTATACACGTCTGACTTAACTGAGAATATACCTTCATATATATATTCTGGAGACATATAACCACTGCATAAATTAGACAAATTAGAGAAATTAGTAAGTTACTTTAGATGGAGGTAGAGTTAAAAGCATATGTGGTTGACTTGATACTTACACCCCACTAATGAATGTGGACTTCATTTCAGTTTGACATTCTTCTAAAGTTCTAGCTAAACCGAAAGCTGGAACTTTAGGGTTCATCTCTCTGTCTAGTAAAACATTACTTGCTTTGATATATACGTGATCAATTCTCAATCCTGAATTTTGCCGAAGATGAAGAACACCACGAGCAATACCAGTAATGATTTTGAAACGTATGGTCCATCCAAGTTCATGTCTCGTTTCATCTGTCTCATTTCAAGTCAATTAGTTCATATATGTCTATCAGTATTTAATTAATGCAGAAGTAAGAATATTATATTCCAGAATCTAAAGTGTAGTCTTAGAAAAATTAGAGGACTGGAATCTAACCAAATAAGTAAGCATCTAGGGATTTGTTCTCCGTGAACTCATACACAAGTATCCATTCTACTCCATGAATGCAATATCCAACTAGTTTAATGAGGTTTGGATGCTGAAGTTTGGTAAGCCATAGAACCTCATTTTTAAAAACATTGTAGGGTTGGCAGGAGTTTGATGAAAGCCTTTTAACAGCTACTTCCTGTCCTGTAGATAACAGACCCTATACATATAGAATAGCATTAGCAGAAGGATTGAACTTCAAATCACCATCTTAATTTCCTAGCAAAACAAGGAAAAGCAAACCTCACCTTATAAACATGACCAAATGCACCTGCTCCAATTTCATTTGGAAGCGAAAAGTTATTAGTTGCAGCTGCAATTGTCGCCAGATCAAATCTATGCGATTCAACTTCTGCTCCATAATATTCTGCAAGATAATTCCGTCATCCATTGTGAGACTTAATTTGGATTGAACCTAGTGCTATTCAAATTTGGACTTGACTAATAAATAAGTTTGCTCGAGCTTCTCCGTTCTAATTATCAAAGAAACTAAGGTCGACATGTTCACTTACTGTGATCTACCGAGCTCAAGTTATAAGATACTGTACATACAATGTTTATTACTTGAAAATTTTCAGAAGACGTATATACTAATGACAGAAATCACTGTTTCATAAAAATTTGGGATCGTATGAATCCTTTTTTGGCACTCCTTTTCATTTCTGCATTTACCGAAACATCAAAAAATGAGAAGCATTTTGATAATAATGTTTGAGACATTTGCATTCACTCAAACCTACATATATAGAACTTATATGAGATAGATTAATTTCTAGCTTGGCTACTCTAGTTATAAATGATTCTGTGTAAGCTTCATCGTAATGAATCCACACTTAAACCCCATCTATTTCATCTTATTGAGCTTTGGGTATGTTGCTGAGACAACCATTTGAAATCACTTCCAATTACAGGGCTATTATCAAATTTGTATGCAGTTGTTACAATACCTGGTATTGATAAATGGTTTTTCTTTGTTATGTTTGCCTTTTTCCATAGTGCATTCCATGGCCAAAATCGTGGTAGCTTGTAAGCATTTTTGTTTCTCTTATACACCTGTGCTCCTCTGCCTGATAGCTCAGCATTCTGAACTATTTTGCTTCTTTCGGTCTGAAAGTGTGGCATAGTCTGCTCATCTACAGAGGACATTTCTTCTATCTCGGCGCTAATTGAATGGAGAGTTTCCCCAGCACAAGGCACGACACAATCAGAACTAGTTATCTCTGGAGCAGAAGATTTAGAGCTTTCCTGCTGCTCCAGTGAAGACTCAAGTTGTACCACAACTTGAGCCATTGTAGGCCGTTTATTTGGTTCATCAAGCAAGCATCTTTTAGCAACTTCACGAAATGTCATCAGGCTCTCTGGTGATATTTGGGCCCTCAGACTTAGAGCAACAAGCCGCTAAATTTCTCCTTTGCTGATGCAATCTTGAACCCAAATGGTGAGGCTCCGCTTATCCTCTTCGACTCTTCGATCCAGTGCTGGTCTTTCGCACAGTACTTCCAACAACACAACCCCGAAGGCATATGTGTCACTTTTCCTCATCAATCTACGAGTTCTGAAATAGTCTGGGTCAAAATACCCAAATGTACCTTTGCACCCGATTTTTCTTTCAAGCTTTGGCCAACCCAAAATCTGAAATCTTAGCCTCCAAATTTTTGTCCAGCAGGATGTTCGAAGCCTTCATGTCACGGTGTATGATTCGTTGATCAGTGCCAGTGTGAAGGTAGTCTAATCCTCGGCCTACCCCAGTGCAGATCCTCAGTCGCTGCTCCCAAGAGAGAGAAGAGTGATAATCACTCTCCCACTGCGTCCAAAGAGATGGTCAGCCAATGTGCCACTAGGAACATATTCATAGAGAAGGATCATTTCTTGGCATTCATTGCAGTATCCGATTAAAGAAATGATATTAGTACGTTGGAGCTGCGAAAGGGCTTCGAGCTCTGTCCAAAACTCGCCCGCCCCTTGCCTGGAATTGGATTTTAATCGTTTTATGGCTACAATCTTTTGCTCCTTACTAATAAATCCTTTGTATACTTTGCCAAATCCACCCCTCCCAATAACAAGTGCATCATTGAAGTTCTCAGTAGCTGATTGGATCTCAGTAAGCGAAAAAGGACGACATAGTTTTTCAGTCAAGCCTGATGGCTTGTATCCAGAGTCGGTACAGTTATCTTCCCAAATTTTCCGCAACTTATAAGTAATGATGTTGACTAGGGAGATTATAATTACTGCACCAGTGGCAATTGCAGTTCCATGACCAAAAAATGATAGTAAATTTAGCACGTAGCGGATTTTGAAGATCGTCTGGGAGGGGAGGGGTTTGGACTTGCAAGACTGTTATCGTGGTTGCTCAACTTCAATATCTCCAATCCTCTGAAGAGTTCACTTGCCAATTCATCCTTTAACTACAGGGAAATTGATAGATCACGCTTGCCATCTTCTTTGTTTCCTTTCACCATCACCATATAGTTTCTGTGCAAATGGATTCCACTGACGACGCTCCTCTCTTTGCCGATATCCACATTAGTTTCTGTAATCATGTCATTTATGGAGACACAGAATACTCTGTTTCTAGTCTCTGCCAGCTGAAGTCCCCTCTCGCAGAAATGAAGCCTGAGCAAGTATCTGAATCCAATATCCCCAGATGTTTTCCAGGTAAAATCTTTGATCTTTTCATCTGGAACTGTTGCCCATTTCCCAAACATGCCAAGATAAGGAATAGGATCCCATCTGAAATGTAATCACTGCATCATTTCCAGTGCAGTGTTGTTGTCGATATAGAATCGAGATTTTGGCCAACCACTCGGGCTCCATTATCATCATCATCATGAGAGTAATAAAGATCACTAGGCATGGATATTACCTCTATTCCATTTATAAAAGCATATGTTTTATCAGATTGACTGTGTTCAGGAGAGAAAATTATACTCAGGGGTGATTCTGTTCTATATTCATGCAATACTCCTTAACCAAAGACTTCACGTCGAGGGCATCAGCAGTTAGTGAAGTGCTAAAGTTTCTAAGGAGAGTGAAAGCCCCAGCTTCGACAGTGAACAAATCCTTAAATTTTTTGAAACGTTGGTAAGAAGCCGGACTGAAGTGAAGACAAATAAGCTTCTGACCTGGACTAACTTGAAATGTGTAGGAGAATTGCTTGCGAGAGACTCGAGCTGTTTTGTAGGGAATGGAATCTGTTGAAACCAAATTATGGAAGGCAGTTGAGGTGGTGGATGAGCCCTTTATCACTAGCGAGGAAGTAGATTTTGATTCTGTTATATCTCCAGTCCATTCTTTGTTATTGAAGGCGGTTGAAATGCCAATTGAACCAGAGTTAATAGCTATATCCACTGTGAGGTAATTATCTGCGGAATGAACTGCTAAGGTGCAAAGAAGAGGATAAAGGAAGAAGAAGACGAGATTTTCCATTTGGTGTAAACTGGAGGGAGGGGATGCTGATGACATGTTTGGCATAGAACTAGATGGTGTTAGGGAGGAAAAAATGCTCAGTTTTTTGCAGTGTTCTCTGTTAAAGAGAGGAAACAAGTAGTTTGTTTTATCAAAGTCAATTCTCCCTCACAATTACCTGGTAACTTCAAAGATGATTCAGATAATAATGTAGAAGACAGGTCATGGTTACTGCACATTTTACGCGAATAGATTTTTTATGCAAAATTATGCTTTCATATTCCCTCAATTCACGTCACAAGAAAAAGGGAAAAAGAAACTGAAGAATGAAAACTTTTCGAAGACCGGCTTTATCTTGTAAATGCTAGTAAGGATAATGCTCTTGGTACATTGTGATATCCAACATGGTGTCCAAAATGGACACCCAGCATCTCAGCATTGGCCGAGGTGCTTGCGGGCCCCGACGTGGCAGGCCGAGGTGCCAAGTGTCCATTTTGGACACCATGTTGGATACCACAAAGTACCCCAAGCATGATTGATACTAGTAATTGCTAGCTGTATTCTTGAAGCTTTTTACTGTTTCAAGTCAATATAAGATAAAAACAAAAAATCAATTCGCTCCACTCCATCCGTTCTTCTCTAAAAAGTAAGGATTATCCTGAGACCTGTTTGATGAAAATTAAATTTCAGATTTTGTTTCAAGTTAAAGTTAATAATTAATTTCAATCACATATTCCGTGAGATCTACAACTTTTTAATCACATATTTCATCAATTTTATCATCTTCTTAATAATTGCTACCCTAATGAATATTAATTTTTAAATTATATAGCCCTAGCTCTTTTAAGAAAAGTGTGGATTTGATTCGGCTTTATTTTATGCACTTGCTTATGCTTCTCTAGTATTCCAAAATTCCATATGTTGAGCAACAAAAATTACATTAAGCACCTGTTCTTTGCTGATTAATATTCATTTCTTCGAAAATGAAATTGATACCAAAGCTCGTCAAAGGCTCAGGTAATTTTGCCTGACATGCTCGGCTCATGTACAATCACTGAAGTAATTACAACTACTATTTAATCTTGTTGTGAACATTTGTCTTTGACAAAGTTTGTTACTTGATGGTTTTACTGCTGCAACATATTACATGCAAAATTGATGAAGACTTGGTACATATGAAACTAGATTCATGTCAAAATAGTGGTAAACTCAACATAGAAGAGATGAAGGTTGAAGTGGCATGCTTGTACCTGTTTAAAACTCTTCGAAGAGAAGATATCCAGAGGTATGCAGTGATTCCTAATTTTGCGCTTGGTTTTTATTATTGGTAATCATAATGTAGAAGTTTGGGTTTTGAATTACAACCATTTTTTTTGAGTGAATAAGACGAAACAATGTTAGGTACATACAGTCTGGGGCATTATAAATTTTGTAAGGATAATTTTCTAGTGTTTGTTTGGTGTGATTATCTAATAACCCTGCAAAATCATGTCATATGAATCAGTAAAGAATTAAGAGGTTATTCTCCAAATAAATTATGATCTGGAAAGGTTTTCATGTATTCTCAATAATTGGTTTCACAGACTTACGCGAGCCATTGTTTGTTTCGTATTTCATATTTCCGCAATTTTATTATCACGAACCATTTATGTGCAATACGTGAAGGCCCTTATGTCAATTTTATTTGTAAAGTTCCAATAACATATATCTTGCTCAAGGAAAGAGCTCAGCTTGCAGATGGAAGTCATAATCATGAATGTGATTCCAATAATTTTTTGCAAGCATTGCTAATGCAGGTAGGTCGAGAAGCCTAGATGCCATTGTTTAATACTCCATTCATGGTAGTTTAATGCTTATACAAGTGCTTAAAAATTTCATACTTTCTCGTCTCTTTAACTTTAACTATATCAAGATTAAATTGGATGTCCGAAGTTGATATAATGGGAAGGCGAAGAAGATACTGTGTATTG